GAAACACCAGGAATGACAGAGAGAGTAACCAGATGAATGACAAGACGCGTGCAGGCTTGTCTTCAAATGCATGGTGGTCATATCGAGCATCTTTTGTAAAAGTAATTAAAACAGAAGATTCATTATATCTCATAAACGAAGACAGATAGGACATATATTTATGTGGCTTTTTTTCATTATGTCTAGGCGTACAATCAGCTCCCGAAGTGGATTCCACACCCTGTATTTATAAAAATATATAATACACCCTATATATATATATATATATATATTTTTCGATCCAAGAAACCTGAAGTTGCGAGCGCGTAATCCGTTCTTCCGGTTTTATCGGCGTCGTACGTTTGCAGCTCGATCCTCACCAACTCTCGAACAGTTTCCGGTGACATGGCCTTCAGCAACGCTTTCGTATGTTGCTCCATTCCTGTTTTTTTTCGAAGTAAACAAACACTCGTGATTTATTATCGTGGCGGCAATCGCCAGGCACGCATACACCATGTCTATTTCTTTTACCCTCGGACACTTCGTTTCTTAAATAGTGAATGGCCTCGGACATTTTCGGTATCACGTATCCAACCTCTTTCAACTTACGCTTTAAATCGTCTCGCGTTTCAATGACGTTCTTTACCTCCAACTAAGGGGACGTCGTTTAAAAAAATATCGTTTAAAATATCAATCGTCGCAGGCGAAACAACGGTGCAGTAAGATTTACCGAGAGGGTGTTCAAGTGCGCCCGCAGATTTACCAAATCGGATCTGATTATCTTGAACGTCGTACTGGCTGAGTATTTGTCGCACAAATGGGACACGGACATTGCTGAAATCGTTCAACACGAAAGCGTTTCATTTTGAATTTTTATTGCCACGCTGTCGCGGATTTTCATGCATTTCTGGAATCATTTCACCAACGTGACGTGAAAAGAAATAGAAATTTTGTTTCATTTCAATTCTTGCAATTCAACATTTTTGCGATTTCTTACGAATGCATAAAATCCGCAACCGGTATATTCTTTGATCTATTTTTTAAAATTTTGCTAAGCACAAAATTGTCAGTACGTTTCGTTATACACAAAATTGAAAATTTGCTATAAATTTAAATTAAATTGAATTGAATTGAATTAAATTGAATTAAATTGAATTAAATTGAATTAAATTGAATTAAATTGAATTAAATTGAATTAAATTGAATTAAATTGAATTGAATTGAATTGAATTGAATTAAAAAAGTATTGTTAATAAATCTTAATCTATTATTAAATAAAAATCTTAACATTAATATCCAAAATTGATAAATCTTGAAATATTGAAATTGAAAATATTTCACTTTCGTTTCTGCATATTTCAATATTAAAACTGCGTATAAAATTCGTATCATTGATGATTTACGTGGATCATTCATAAACCACGTATTAACATATTAACAATTTTGCGAAATGTATTAACAATTTTCCACTCGTAACTGGAATTTCAATACCAATTTAAATTTCAAATCACACAGTGTGATTTGAAATGGGAGAGATTACAGTAAATGTCACTTGATACAGAGATCCTTTGTCATTCATCAAATTGATCTCGAGGCACGAATTATTATTATTTAAAAATAAAAAAAGAAAACAAACCAGATGCAACAGTTATCAACGTAGAATCTTCTTCGTTAATTAAGTCATCCAGTTACGAAGTGACTCGAAATTTCGTTTCATTTGCAAGTTAACCATATGTTGAGCGACGTACCTAACAACGATGTAATAATGCAAAATACAAATGGTTTGATGAATTTACAGTACCAAGGAGATTGGCGAGAGGAATTCAGTATTGCAGCTGGACAGGTTCCGCCATTTGCACAGCAATACGTGTTTCGAACGTTCATCGGGTCGTACTCATAATCACAGGTCTGATTTTTTGAAGGACCTGAACCTATAGTTTTGTCGAGGTTCCTTCAACTCGCCTAACTGCTAAATTCCGTTCGATGGGAATTTCGGATTAAAATTCAGATCGATCACCATTACGAGCGGGATCCTAGATCATTGACTAAAGATAGAACAGACCGGAAGTGGGATTTCAGAGTCTTGGAATCTGGATATATCGATCAGGGGAAAAAAAGGTCACTGATTTTTTGGAGCACTCTACATTTGAGCAACGATGAATTAGAGAACTATGATACAAGCGCAGACGAGGAGTGGAGGAATTAAACTTGTTTAATTGTCGAAAACAATATTTAGAAATGTAGGAAATAATTTAATTAAATGAATTACTAAAACTACGAAGTGATATTTAAAAATATAAAATAATTAAAATACTGAGTCAACTGTTGTAAAAATAAATGGTAAAAATTATTAATTGATATATAAAAATATCATAGAAGTGCATCAGTTTATAGTTAAATTAAATTATTTCATTAAAACAATATTTAGAAATGTAGGAAATAATTTAATTGTCATAAAAATGAATTACTAAAGCTACGAAGTAATATTTAAAAATATAAAATTAAAATACCGAGTCAACTGTTGCAAAAAGAAATGGTTAAAATTATTAACTTATAATGGTTAAAATTATTAACTGATATATAAAAATATCATAGACGTGCATCAGTTTATAGTGCATCAGTTTTGAGTAACTCAT